ATCGAACTGAGGTCTCCTGCATTGCAGGCAGATTCATTACCATTTGACCTACTGGGAAGCCCACCTTGATAGGGATACAAGTCTCTATCATAAGACTTGTAATAATATAAAAACTAAATGCCTGACATAATTCTAAGAATTGCTACTTATAAAAACTATATCTTATTCTACGACACATAATAAATATTCATAAATGGTTGCTGAATAGATGAATTAAGAATCAGTTCAGTTACATTAAGTGAATACTAATTACAGTGAAAGGGAAACTCATGTGTGATAAAAATAGTTGCAGTAAAGTGGAAAAGAGAGCCTAAACATAAACCCACACAATCAATTAACACAGTTAATTGATTTTTGAGGGGGTGCCAATAACACACAACATGAAAAGGATAATCTCTTCAGTAACTGGTGTTGAGGAAACTGGATATCTACCTGCGAAAGGATAAAACTGGACCCTGATCTTACATCACTCAAAACAATTAACTTGAAATAGATCAAAGACTTAAACAAAAGACCCTAGAAGAAAACACAGGGAAGGAGCTCCTTGACATTATTCCTGGCAATGATTCTTGGGTAAGATACCAAAAGCATAAGCAAAGAAAGCTAAAATAAACAAACAGAGCTACATCAAATGTAAGAGCTTTGGGGGACTTCCCTGGTGGTCCAGGGGTTAAGACTCTAAGCTACCACTGTAAGAGACACAGGTTCAATCCCCTGGTCTGGGAACTAGGATCCCACAATGCCACGTGGTGTGGCCAAAACAAACAAAAACGTTAGAGCTTCTGCACAGCCAAGGAAACAATCAAGAAAACTGAAAAGGCAACCTACAGGAAAATATTCCCAAGACATGTTTCTGATAATATACAAAATACATAAAGCACTCATATAACTCAAAAGCAAGAAAGTAAATAATCCAATTTAAAAGTGGTCAAAGAATGTTAATAAACATTTTTCCAAAGACATACAAATGGCCAAAGGTGCTCAAAATCACTAATCAAATGTAAACAAAATCACAATGAGGTATCATCTCACACTTGTTAAAATGGCTATTATCAAAAAGACAGGAGATAACAAATGCTGTCAAGGATTCAGAGAAAAGGGAAGCCTTGTGCACTGTTAGTGGGAATGCAAACTGGTATAGCAATTATGGAAACACTATGGAGGCTCCTGAAAAAATTTAAAATAGAACTATTTTATGATCCAGCAATTCCACTCTTGGGTATAAACCCCAAAGAAACAAAACCACTATCCAAAAGAGATATCTGTACCCTCATGTTCACTGTAGCATTACTTGCAATAGCCAAGGGATAGAAACATTCAAGAATGAATGAATGTTCAAGAAGAATGAATAAAGAAAATGTAATGGATGTATACAATGGAATACTATTTGGCTATAAAAAGAAGGAAATCCTGACATTGGGAAAAATGTAAATGGACCTTGAGAGTATTATGCTAAGTGAAATAAGTCAGACAACGAAAGGTATACTATTGGTATCACTTACACGTGGAATCTAAAAACACCACCACCACCACCAATAAAAGCCAATTTCACAGAAAGAATGAAATGGGGGTTGCCAAGGGCTAGGAGAAAGGGGAAATAGAATGATGTAAATCAAAAGGTATAAATGTTCAGTTATTATAAGAATAATTTTGCTCAGCCATAAAAAGGAATGAAACTGGGTCATTTGTAGAAATGTGGACAGACCTAGAGTTTATCATGCAGAGTGAAGTAAGTCAGAAAGAGAAAAATAAACATCATATATTAACGCATATGTATGGAATCTAAAAAAATGGTACTGCTGCTGCTGCTGCTAAGTCGCTTCAGTCGTGTCTGACTCTGTGCAACCCCATAGATGGCAGCCACCAAGCTCCCCTGTCCCTGGGATTCTCCAGGCAAGAACACTGGAGTGGGTTGCCATTTCCTTCTCCAATGCATGAGAGTGAAAAGTGAAAGTGAAGTTGCTCAGTCATATCCGACTCTTAGCAACCCCATGGACTGCAGCCTACCAGGCTCCTCCGTCCACAGGATTTTCCAGGCAAGAGTACTGGAGTGGGCTGCCATTGAAAAATGGTACAGATGAATCTATTTCCAGTGCCAAAATAGAGAAGCAGATGTAGGGAATGGACATGTGGACATGGGAGGAAGGGGAGGGTGGGATGAATTGGGAGATTAGGATTGACATATATGTACACTACCATGTGTAAAACAGATAGCTGGTGTAAATCTGCTATAAAGCACAGGAAGCTCAGCTCAGTGCTCTGTGATGACCTAGATGGGTGGGATGGGAGTGGGGTGGGAAGGAAGTTTAAGAGGGAGGGGATATATATATAAACTGGTTCATTTCACAGTAAATGAACTCCAGTGCAATTATACTCCAATAAAAAAGATAAAAAAGAACAATTGAGGAGGATCTAATGTACAGTATGTTGACTATTCTTAACTATACAGTACTGTATAGCAGAAACTTGCTGAGAGCAGACCTTAAGAATTCTCCAATATCAAAAAACAAACCCAATCAAAAAATCGGCAGAAGATCTAAATGGACATTTCTCTAAAGAAGACAGATGGCCAAGAGGCACATGAAAAGATGCTCAACATCACTAATTAATAGAAAAGTGCAAATCAAAACTACAATGAAGTATCACCTCACACCGGTCGGTCAGAATGGCCATCATCAAAAAAACCTACAAACCATAAATGCTGGAAGAGGGGGTGGAGAAAAGGAAATCCTCTTGCACTGTTGGTGGGAATGTAAATAAAACCTGCATGCCTCTCAATAGATACTTTGTGAACATGACAAAATCTACCCAGTCTAAGCCAGCAGCTTTCATAATGAAGACATGTGGCAGGTACTCCTACTCAGATCTGTTTTGCTAGTGCTTGGTCAGGAAATGTTATCCTTTTATTGTGCTCTTTATTTTTTACAGATGGGTAACATAAAATTAGGTCCTTTAATCACATTATATATATATATATATATATATATATATATATGTGATATATGTGTATGTATATATATATTTTATATATATATATATATGTGATATATGTGTATGTATATATATATTTTATATATATATATATGTGATATATGTGTATGTATATATATATTTTATATATATGTATATATATGTATACACATTATATGCATATGTATATATATTATATATATGTATATACATTATATGTGTATATATATATTTTTTAATTCCAGATGGCTTAAGGTACTAAATACTTTTTTTAAAAAAACATGCTTGGCATTTTTACACAAAATAAAAAATTTCATTTGGCCCCTGGGGTAAGGAAAACAAGAATAAAAAACAGAAAGCACAAAAGGATTGCATTACAATATAAAAGTTTCAGAAAATATACTATTAAATGAAAAGACAAAAAGCATACTGAGAAAAGATAATTAGTAACAGTTATAACAAAAGATTACCATTTAAAACACATAGGGAATGCATACAAAACTCAGTGCAAAACCTGAAAAGCCATACACTTATGAAAGCTGCACAACCACAATCATCAGTCACAAAATTAAAGTTTTTCACCTATTACAGAGGAAGTAATTTTTATATCTGGAAAGATGGGAGGGAAAATAATCTTGATTTTCATATCTTATAACTCAAACCTATTAATCACAGAACCCTAGAGCAGTGATTCTTAAACTTAGCAACTATCTGCATCACATGAATACCCTGTTAAAACAGACTACTGAGCCTACCCCTCCATTTCTTTGCCAGCAGTTTGAGATAGGGTATAAGCATCTGCAATTTCACACAAGTTTACGGTGATGCTGCTGCTTCCAGCCAAAGAACCTCACTTTGAGAAGCACTGCTCGAGAGTCTGAGACACATCTGTATTTGTGCAGAGAGTGACAAGGATATTCATAGTAGCACAGTTTATATTACTAAAAAATTGAAACTACCTAAATTTAGGTAGGTACCTAAATACCTAAATACCTACCAATAGAATATTGAGAATGGAAAAATATGGCATTAAAAGGAATAGAACTACATATCAATAGATTTCAAATTATTAGTGAACCAGAAAACTGTATCACAGATACATTAAAATAGTTTATGTATTTTTAAAAAGCACCCCAAACAATATATAGTATTGTCCAACTATCTACATATTTTTCCAATGTGGGGGTAAAATGAGAAGTCTAACAGAAGCTGGAACTAAACCCAGAACTAAACACTGGGGCACAATGAGGAGTACCCCAAGAAAAAGCCATCAGAAGAGCGGTTTCAGAAGTGAACGAAGGAGACCTTCAGGACAGAGCGGTCAGCTGTGCGGCGCTGTCCAAGGAAGACAACTGCAATTAAGTCGCTGGTGACGTTTACCTGAATAGATTCTAAAGTGGAGATTCTAAAGTGTCTTGCTTCTAAAATAGCAAGACAGAATGCTACGGGATGAAATCTGACTGAAGAACTCAGAAACATTTACCAGAGAATTTAACTCTGAACCATCTGTTTCAGGACTTCTACGCACAGCTTGGCTAAGATAAAATAGCTTTGTAATAGGCATGCAGGCCATTTATTCCTCTAAACATACAAAAATAAGTAAGACTATCATAAAACTCATTATTTGAACCATCTCTTCAACCCTTTTACCCTCAGTAAGGAATGGTCTGAGGCATTCATTTCAGGGCTGTCCCTGGAAATTACTTACTACGTGTCCCTAGGTTAAGAGCAAAAAGGGTATCTTCCAGTAAGACTCTGTTGCATCTTCAAAGGAATCTTTTTGTATCCAAAATACAGTGTCTCCCTTTCTGCCATGGTTATCAGAAACATCAGAAACCTATTTGCAGGCTAACTTAGAAACTGTGTTATATAAATGATCAGTATATATAAGCCAACTTGGTTCTGCTCTTGATTTCCTATTTTTTATGAAGTTCAATTTTTATCTATTACTGATTTCCCATCTTAACGTATGGACTCTTAAAATCTCACAAAGTCCACAGTTAAACAAAGGAATGAATGAACAAACTCACCTTGGATTTATTCATTTTCAGCTGTTCTTGGAAAAATGTAGACAACTCTGAAGATGCACTGGGTTAGGAGAGGACTGGAGTCATGAAAGATCCGGCCTGTGTGGCAGCTCCTGAATTCTCCTTTCCTATAAAGCTAAACACACCACTAGATAAGGAAAAAAATGTTAATGTCCCTTTGACCTTCAAAGACAGGGATATATATTGTTGATGACCACCTACCTAATACAACTCTAATATTACCATGTAGCTCTTGGGTATAAATTTTTTCAGAGTTAAGTATTTACTGCCTATGGATATTTTAGAACAGTTTAAATCTCCCTTGGTGTTCGCAAAATTTTTTAAATTATAAAATTGATTAAAACAAATAAAAATACACACAATGAAGGAATATTAATTACACCAAAACTGTTGTTAGGAAAAGAATACTTAGGACTAAAGAAGAAAGAAAAAGAAACTCAGGACTAGGCTGTTTAACTTCCCGACTGATGTTACTAAACCTTTGCTTATTAGTGACTCCACAGAAAGCTATAAAAGCAGTGCTTTAAGGAAAGACCCACGTTTCATCGTTGTTGCCATTTCACAGAAGACTCTTCTATAAAACACTTGCTTTTAGTTGTATGGAAAAGTGTAAACAGTACCGGCTTATGAGTCAGATCTTTTAGTCTTCGCCACTAAGTGATCTGAACAAGGCACGAATCTTCAGAAACAAAGAGAAAGAAATTCTATCCAAAGAGACAAAAAAACAGATAATTCTTGACTATCTTTCCTGAATGCTAAGGGAAGCAGAAGAGAGAAACAACATACACAAACAAGAAGTAATGGACATGACTGGAGAGCAGTTTGAAGTCCAAAAAGGATAAATGGAGAACCAAAGGAACGGAGTCTGTGTACAAAGCTAACTGATCAGCCCCGACTGGTGGCTGTTCTTCCAAGACCACACGCCCTGCACCACTCGGCCCTGCACCACTCGGCCCTGCACCACTCGGCCCTCCCCAGCAAGCTTCCTCCCAGCAGCCCCGCCCCGCTCCGGGCCACCCGCTCGCCGCCGCATCTCGTGTGGATACTAAGCCCCTCCTCCTGAGCCCTTAGAAACGGCCATTCGCACAGCGGCGCCAGCTCAGGGCTGGGGCTAGTCTGTCTAGGACTTCGACCCACTCTTCTCAACGGAGACGCCCCCTTCTCGCTGTCCCAGGGGCCTACGGAGCTCCTCCCCACCACGGGAACGGACCTTTTCCCTCCTACTCCCTAAACTACACAGTCCTCAACCAGCCATCCCGAGCTCACTCGCCTCTCCGCCTCCGAGGGGCACTGGCCCCAGAAGAGTGCATAGACTCAGCAGCCCCGGAACCGCTTCCCAAGCGCGGCTGGAGAAAGACAGAAGCAGAGGCGGAAATGCACAGAGGGAAAAGGTGGAACTAGGCATGCGCAGATGGCCCACACTCAGGGCCAGTCCACTGACCACCAGAACTAGGTTTCCCTTTAGTCTCGCCGACCAGCGGGCTGGGATTAGCTGCCAGTCCAGCACACCTGGCAGTGGAAGATTTGGACCTGAGGTAATTTAAGCAGCTAGAGCCGGTCAGGGACTTTTCCCAAAGTTATGGATTACAGCCGAGTTCTCTGTGCAGCCAAGAAAGCAGATTTACATACAGTCAAGAAAAGGAAAACTGTACGTCAATTTCACTTTTCTTTTTTTTAAATACTGGGAAATGGGGACTTACTTGGTGGTTCAGTGGTTAAGATTACACACTTCCAACACAGGGAACCTGGTTCAATCCCTGGTCAGGGAGCTGGATCCCACATGCCACTAACTGAGTTCACATGCCACAACTAACGATACAGCTGCCAAAAGGAAGATCGAGGATCTGGCGACCCAGCACAGTCAAATGAAATAAATAAATACTAGGAAATAGATCCCATTAATAAAAGAGTTATATTATCAGGGAACGCTGGCGGAGATTCGGAGTGGCAGACAAGAAAGCAAGTTAAAATCATGAAAGTAATAAATGAAAATTGTAGATAAATTAAGTGGACACAATCCAAAAGAAAACAGCCTTCCTCTATGTATAAATCATCTTAGAGAAGAGCCTGGCAACCCACTCCAGTATTCTCACCTGAAGAATCCCACGGACAGAAGAACCTGGCGGTCTACAATCCACAGGGTCACAAAGAGTGGGAGGCGACTGAAGAGACATAGCACGCATATATATTCTTTCATTTGTGACATTAAAATTACTTCAGAAAAAGGGAGATAAATCCTTTCATAGGTAGATTCAGTATTTTTGACAAAATTCCAATAAGAATCTCAACTAATTTTTGCATCTACTCCTTTTCTCTTTGATTTTTTAAAGTACTGTGCACATTACAAAAGCATTCTCAACTTCATCTGGAGTAAAATTAAATCTAAATTAAACAGCCAGATGTTCTTAAAGTGCTGCATTCAATATGTCAGCAAATTTGGAAAACTCAGCAGTGACCACTGGACTGGAAAAGGTCAGTTTTCATTCCAATTCCAAAGAAGGGCAGTTCCAAAGAATGTTCACATTACTGTACAACTGTACTCATTTCACATGCTAGTAAGGTTATGCTCAAAATCCTTCAAGCTAAACTTTGGCAGTATGTGAACCAAGAACTTCCAGATGTATAAGTTGGGTTTAGAAAATGCAGAAGAACCAGAGATCAAATTGCCAACATTCATTGACTCAAAGAGAAAGCAAGGGAATTCCAGAAAAACATTTACTTCTGTTTCACTGACTGTGCTAAAGTCTTTGACCATGTGGATCACAACAAACTGGAAAATTCTTCAAGAGATGGGAATACCAGACCACCTTACCTGTCTCCTGAGAAACCTGTATGCCAGTCAAGAAGCAACAGTTAGAACTGGTCATGGAACAACAGACTGGTTCAAAATTGGGAAAGGAGTACATCAAGGCTGTATGTACACCCTGCTTATTTAACTTATATGTAGAGTACATCATGTGAAATGCCAAGCTGGATGAAACACAAGCTGAAATCAAGATTTCCAGGAGAAATATCAACAACCTCAGATATGCAGATGATACCACGCTAATGCCAGAAAGTGAAGAGGAACTAAAGAGCCTCATGATGAAGGTGAAAGAGGAGAGTGAAAAAGCTGGCTTAAAACTCAATATTAAAAAAAAAAACTAAGATTATGGTGTCTGGTCCCATCACTTCATGACAAATAGGAGGGGAAAAAATGAAAGCAGTGCCAGATTTTGTTTTCTTGGGCTCCAAAATCACTGCAGATGGTGACTGCAGCCATGACATTAAAAGACATTTGCTCCTTGGAAGGAGAGCTATGACAAACCTAGACACCATATTAAAAAGAGACATCACTTTGCTGACCACGGTCCATATAGTCAAAACAATGGTTTTTCCAGTAATCATACACGGATGTGAGAGGTGGACCATAAAGAAGGCTGAGCACCAAAGAATTGATGCTTTTGAAATCTGGTGCTGGAGAAGATTCTTGAGTTCCTTGGACAGCAAGGAGATCAAACCAGTTAATCCTAAAGGAAATCAACCCTAAATATTCATTGGAAGGATTAATGCTGAAGCTCCAATACATTGGCCACCTGATGCAAAGAGCCGACTCACTGGAAAAGAGCCTGATGTTGGGAAGACTGAAGCAAAAGGAGAAGGGAGTGGCAGAGAATGAAGTAGTTACACAGCATCACCAACTCAGTGGACATGAATTTGAGCAAATTCTGGGAGACAGTGAAGGACAGAGGAATCTGTCATGCTCTAGTCCATGGGTCACAAAGAGTTGGACATGACCTAGCAACTGAACAACAGCCAGAAAGCATTTCAAAAAGGAGAAAATTGTCTAAGAGAAATCTCAATATGTATAATATTGCTCAGTTATTTCAAATAGTTTGGCATCTGCTTCATGGTAATACAATAGCCATGATTAAGAGTATTTTTTAAATGTAGTATAATAAATGTAGCATCTCAAAACAACCAGGGAAGGAAAGGAATATTCCAAACAGCAAGTCATTCCCAACAAAGATCACATTTGATACAGGTTCATATGGATTCAAGGTCTGAAATGCTTATAAAGTAAACCACTAAGTTAGTAAAGGAAAATAGAGATGAGAAATTGTGACATCAAAAAACCCACACATTTAATGTGAAACATTTTATAATAAAAAATAGCAAACAACTCAGCTCTAGTTTTTAAAAGATGTTAAAAGCAAATAACCAAGAAATTATATTTTTACTATTTGAAAGAAAAGAAGAATAAGATCTTTAAAGCAATAAAAGGAAAAAACTTAAAATGGGCTATAGAACTGAGTAGTAGTGTAATAAAAAGAAAAAATTCAAATAAACACGTTTGAAAAAGTTGATTAGAATGGAAAGAAATGTAAACATTTAAGTAAAAACATGCAAGATATCATTTACTGAGACTTAAATTTTTACTTTATATGTATACACACACACAAAAGTTCATTTTGTCCACTTTTATGAGTTTTGACAAGTGCATAATTTGTGTAACCACCACTGTACTCAAAATACAGAACTGCAGACTCCCAAATTACTTCATACTACCCTTTTGAAATAAAAACCTCTCACCACTCTAAACTTCTGGCAGCCACTATGTATTCTTCATGCTTATATGTTTGTTTTTTCTAAAAGGTAGTTTTACAAATACATATAACAAATAGTATGCTTAATGGTGAAATATAAAAAGTGTTCAACTGAAAAGTCAGACAAAGATAAGAATGCATACTATCTGCAACTTTATTTGGCATTTTTTCCACAGTTCTTAGAGTAAAAGAGAAAAATAATCATGTACATAGAATTTTCAAATGAAAGTATCCAAAATAAAAGTTTTAGAAATTTGATACAAATTCAATACAACAAATTTCAGAAAATTAAATTATTTTAAAGGTATCGATAGGGACAGAATAAAGAAACAAAGTAGGTGATTAAATAGTTAACACCAATAGGGGATTGTAAGTAGAAAAAAAAAATACAGTAGACCCCTGTAAATTAAT